CAGTGCTGCTACATTAGCAGGTCTTTTTAAGTGTTGATCCAGAGGGATCCCTTTCATTGAGTAAAGAGAAAGCTGACATTTTAAACAGCTAAAGAAGTACAGCCAGAGAGTGGCTGTGAATAGATTAAGAGAAAAGCTGACTGTGTCTATGTCTGTTTCCAGTGCTGTGGGAAAGAATAAGACTGATAGATAGACGGGGGCCTAAGAAATGTAGAAACCTTAGTCCCAGCCCTCCCATATTTCCTCTGAGGCACAGACTGGCTATTGAATGGAGAATCTTGGCCAAGACATCTTTTGCCTGGAAGATGTGAGTCACTGTTGCTCAGTTCAGGGTTGGTACATAGGTCAGACAGGTTGAGAGACAATGTGCCAGTGTCCTTCCCCTCTTCCTGGCTCATTGGAGCCATCCTCAGAGTCCCACCCACTGGAGAAGTTTCCTCTATTATGACAGTGGCGGTTGCTTGTCAAATCCATTGTGGGACACTGTAATTGACAAGTGGTGCACCTTAGCTTTTGCTACAATAATCAGCAAAGCAATGGTGGCTCTATGTGAAATCTGTTCTTTGCAGCACCTAAAAGTCAGTCTTGTTTCTTATTCTCTAGAGCAAAACTGAATAAATCTATTCTTTTTGCCAGTTCCAGCTCTTTGTGTATTTGTAGAGAACTTTCATGTCCCTCCTAAAGGCTTCTCAAACCCAAACAAAGCAGTCCTCATTCTTGAGTCATGGGGGAAAATGACTTAATGACCATAAGTGGTTTTCTGAATGCTTTTCCTCCAGGACACTCTCAGGATGAAATTTTTGGGGCAGTGTCCCATTTGAAATGCTGCTCTCAGGTGTGAAAACACTGTGCCCAAATGCCACATGGCCAGTGCCAGCTTCGTGATTCTTTGTGTCCGTGTTCTATACATTGAACACAATGAGTAAAGGTAGAAAGAAGGTGAAATGAATTATTTATGCAATTATTAAAATCAGGTTTTCATAGACTATTTAGTGGTGCAATATCATAAATGAAAAATCTGCTTCAATATTGTATGTATCATATGCTCTCAATTATGTGTAAAACAGAAATATGCAAAAGAAAAACCTCAAAGGAAATATATCAAAATCTTACTGATTATCTTTGAAGTATATAACCTTAGATTTTTATTATTTTCAACTTTATCACCTCATAGTTTCTGCATGAACATGTTTAATTTTCTCTCTCTCTCTCTCTCTCTCTATATATATATATATATATATATATTTTTTTTTTTTTAATCTCCTTAGAATGTGTGTCCTTCCCCTTTTTCCCAACTCACCTATTCTGGGTCCTTTCCATTCTCTTGTTGTCAGAATTTCATTTTAGATCCCTCCCCTCTTGAGGCATCATGGTGCTCGCAGGATAGCTATATAGTGTATTAATCTCCACTAAGTGTTTCTGGCTTTATCTATCCTGTGGTCCTCAGGGTTCTTACTCATTTTTTTTAAATTTAATAATTTAATGTCTCCATTTTCCTCCAGAGAGGTACCTGAAGTAAAAGTCCCCATCAGCTTTATGTATTTATTTATTTATTTTTCAACATCAATTATTTTTATTTTAAATAAAGAAAAATATAAAAACAGTGGTACAAAATCTCAATACAAGATTTTAGGAGAGTAACAATGGTTAGTACATTGTGTATTGTTATTGCCAAAGCAGTTTCTCATACTATAAGATATAGGCAAGAAATAATAAGCAAATAACATAGGTACAAACCTTTTTTTTTTAAGTCAACAGAAAATGGAAATATACTTTTTAAAGTTTCTAATACTAGGAGAAGATATCATACAATGTTTTTTAAATAAATTGTAAGTCAAA